TCCCGGACCGGGGCACGAACCCGTGTCCCCTGCATCGGCAGGCGGATTCCCAACCACTGCGCCACCAGGGAAGCCCCATTTGTACTATTTTTAATTTTTATTTACTTATTTAAAGATTTTTTTCTGTTTCTGTTTTTGGCCATGCCACGATTGAACCCAGGCCACAGCAGTGAAAGCCCAGAATCCTAACCACTAGGCCGCCAGGGAACTCCCAATTTGTACTGTTTTTTAGATTCCACATATAAGTGACATTATATGATATTTGTCTTTCTCTGTCTGACTTACTTCACTTAGTATGATAATCTCTAGGTCCATCCACGTTGCTGTAAATGGCATTCTTTCTTTTTTTTTTTTTATGGCTGAGTTCATAGCTTCTTAAGTGTCCGTTTGCCTGCAGGTCTCAGGAGTCATGTGGCCTTTGAAGTCTGTGGCCAGCTCCAACCCTGGACTCTCTCCCCAGTTCCCCCAGCCCCATGGCCTCCAAAGATGCAAGTTCATGGCCTTCATTTTTCCTTTGTGCCAAAAGCCAGGACATCACCAAAATGATAACCACAGGAAAGTTACAGTGTCCTAGAAGGATCTTATATTCATGATCCTCTTCTGTGTTCCCTCATTCCCTGGTCTAAACAGAGTCAGACACCCGGCCCTGCCCTTTCTTTTTGCCTCAACACTTCTCAGAAGTCAGAGTTCCAAAATTCACTCGGGTAACAGAGCACCGGGAAGTTAGGGGCTCCCTAAGGAAACCAGTGATTACTGATGTTTCTAATTCCATCACAGGAAAGGAGGGTCAGGACCCAATCCTAGATGAGGTACAGGAAGCTCAGTGGTTAGTGCACAGGCTGTGGGTTGTGCAAACCTTGGCTTGAATTCCACCTCCAACACTTACTGGTTGTATGACCTTGGGAAAGTCACTCCATTCCTCAAGAGTTTCAGTGCTCTGGAGTGAATTGTGTCTCCCTCCAAATTCATATGTTGAAGCCCTAGCCCTCAATGTGACTATATTTGGAGATGGGGCCTTTAGGAAAGTAATTAAGGTTAAATGAAGTCATAAGGGTGGGCCCCTGATTCAATAGGACTGGTGTCCTTATTAGAAGAGATCAGAAATATCTCTCTCTCCAGAATTCTCTCTCTCCTTGCATGCACAGAAGAAAGGCCATATGAGGACACAGCAAGAAGCTGACCATCTGCAAGCCAGCAAGAGAGCTCTCGCCAGAAACCAGCCCTGACAGCACCTTGATTTTGGACTTCTAGCCTCCAGAGCAGTGAGAAAATAAATTTCTCTTGTTTAAGCCACTCAGCCTGTGGTACTCTGTGATGGCAGCCCCAGCTGACTAATACATTCATTCTCCTCATCTGCAAAGCAGGGATAAAATTAGGACCTGCATCATGAAGCTATTGTGAGAATCCAGTGAGGAAATTCATGTGTAATGCCTGCCTGTTTAACTTTCCTACAGCACCTTCGGCACCTGGAACAGTGCCTGGTGTATAGTGGATGTTCAATAACTACCTAGTGAATGAATAACTACATCCACCAAGAAAGGAAGCTGTCAAACTCAATGTAAGTGTGTATTTCTGAGCTTCTCACTAACCTCCATCTCCTTGATCATTGATCATCACTCACCAGCAAGTGACAGCAGGCACAAAGGATTTAAGAAAAGTGTCTGCAGGGATGGTCTCCTGTTTTTAATTGGATCTGCCATTAATACCCTGTCTTCTGTGAACTAGGAAAGGGTTTGGTCTGGCTGATCCCTGAGTAGAGTCTGAGTCTCTGGGAGGAGGCGACATTGACCAGGAAGCTTTGGGGCCCTTGGTCCAGCCTTGCAGGCCTGGGCATTGAGGAGGGAGCTCTTCCTCCCGTGGGGCAGGGGACAGGAGATGCAGCTGTGGGATGCAGTGGTGGGAGAGCTAGGGCTGGGCCCTGGGAGTGGCACGGACAAAGTTGGTCTGGGGCTGGAGGCCACAGCAGGCCCACCTTCCTGGTGCTTGCACGATGCAAATGATGGGAACAATAGGGCCCCTGTCCCCAGGCCATTTGTGGCAGAACCTGGACCCTGGGGAGGCATAGCTTCTTTACCTTGGCCATGGTGAGACTTGGTTCTGGGGGCAGCCCCAGATGCACAGACCTGCCCAGCCCTGGGGCCCAGGACTCCGGGCAGCGAGAGGCGCCCCACCTGCACTGACCACCCCCTTATTCTCCTCTCTGACTCTTTCTAGGACAAGCTCAGCAGAAGCAAGGCCAGGTGAGTCCTTGGGCTCCTCTCTTTCCTCTGCCCTCCTCTCTTGTTTCCACCTCACTGTCCCTTTACTGGGCACAGGCATCCTTAGAGCGGTGCTGGTTCTGCCTGGGCCCTCCATGCCCAGTGCGACCATTCATGCACCTCCACCCCCTGGGAACACTAGGGCTCCCCCACTGCCAGCTTCCCACAGGCACTAGCTCTGCCCCCAGACTCTTCCTCCTGCTGCCCTGGTCCCAGGCTGCCGTCACACAACTCCAGGGGACACCATTCATACCGTCATGGATGTCAATGTCCCAGGGTTGTGCATGGTCTGGCTGACAAAAACGCAGGGCCCCTTGGGCAGAGCTGACTGGAATCTGATTGCAGGTTGGGGCCACACCTTCCACCCCCAAGATGTGCAGGTAAGTGGCCAACCCCCAGATGCGTAGGAGCCCCTGCAAGTCGAGTCTCCCCTGAGGACTCTGGACACCTCCTGCCCATTATAGTCCGGTGCTGCTAAGTCACTGGGGCCTAGCTCTTCCACCTGTCTCAGTCAGAATTAGGGATGCATGGGGTAGGGGACTGGCATAGGTGGAACAGGCTGCAAGACCCCCTTATCTCCAAAACGCCTCACTGGTCTTGCTGCAGTGTTGGAAAGGCCCACCATGAATGGTTCCTTTGAGGCCACTGTAAGAGTGCAGATGGGTTATTATATTTTGGAGAGAGAGTAAGTCATTGTGCTAGAGAGGGACTGGGCCACGAGGAGATGAGGACAGTCTCACCAGTCTCCCATCCGGATTCCCCTGCCCATCTCCTCTGTCTGCCCCAGGGACCTGGAGACGCAGGGTAAGTTCAGCTGCGGAGCCGGGGTGGGGGGCGGGGGGAGGCAGCGGCCACCACGGCTCCAGCTCCTGCATCTCTTCGGTCCTCCCTGTGCTCAGCATCCCTTCCCAGAAGCCCAGGACGAGGAGGAGGAAGAGGAGGATAAATATGAGCTGCCCCCTGTGAGGCTCTGCTCTGCCACCTAGCCCCCGCCCACCCTCCTGGCACTCAGGAGGACCCTTTGTACTTGGGTGAGGGCTGGGAAGTTGAGGCAGGGAGGTCGGGTGGTCAGGCAGGACGGGAGGGTCCCCACAAGGGAAGAGGGCCCAGGCCTTGCCTCGTCTCCCTCTGTCTGGCCTGGGGCAGCGAGGGGAGGCCTCAGCTGGCAGTCACTGAGGCCTCTTGGCTGGGCAGAGAGAGAGAGATGGAGGGAGGGAGGGAGGAAGGAAGGAAGAAAGGAAGGAAGGAAGGAAGAAAGGAAGGAAGAAAAAGAGAAAGAAAGAAAGAAAGGGAGGGAGGGAGAGAGGAAAGAAAGAAAGGGAGAGAGAGAAGGAGGGAGGGGGGAGGATGGAAGGATGGAAGGAAGGAAGCAAGCAAACATCTGGCTTCTTCTGGAGTGGGCTGTGGCTGTGGCTACCAAGGCTGGGCTCAGCAATTCCAGCACTGGCTGTCCAAGAGGCCATGGCAGGTGCTGCAGACTGTAGCACTTAAAATCTTCACTGGACCCTAGGTAGACAGAAAAGAATGAA